ATTGCGAGTTCAGTATCTTCACGGGAACATGTAGCAGGGAATTCTTCAATAGAATATCATCAACATCAGGAACTAAGGGGAGAATGTTCGTTATCAAACATGTGCGAGACACAGAAGAAGATCACTCCTAGAAGCTCGGACCATTCTGTTGTCAGTTCAGCTTTATTTTCAGGGACGTTTGAAAATTGTAATTTTTATTTTGGAGATAAAGTTTAGTTCACGGGTATTTGTTTTTACTCAGTTGTTTTTTGTGGTTTAAACTTGAAAAATGTCAACTCGAGAGAATAACAATTTTATAAAAATTAACTTAGCGGGCATTAAGAGCGGGCATTATAAGCGGGCGTTATACTATAATGCCCGCTAACAATGCCCTGCGGTTGTTATGGATATTATTATATGTTTCATCTCTAAGGTATTATGAGCCAATAATGTATAGGTGAAACATAAAATATTATTCTAGTGTCAACTGTCATTTTTACATAAAATTATAAATACATGGATATCAAAAACGGCTAGACCTAGATAGGATATTATATATGAAACATATGTAGAATTTACAAATGTAATAATATATAGGGTGTTCTTTTTAAAATAGCAAGTTGTTACCTATCCGGTAAAACCTAAAATGTGGGCATCTTGAAAATATTTGACATCGCTTGCCTCCGTATATATTTATAAGTTTTACGTTACTGTATAGCATTTTGAACTTCAAACATACAGGGTGATGCAAAATTGGCGTCATTCCTTTTAAGGGGTGATAGAAGCTCCCTTGGGGAGTACAAGAAAAATATTGAAATTTTTTTTTCGAAAATTTCTAGAAGATATTAACAGTTAAAGATCGAATTTCAACTTTGTTATTAAGCATTATTTTGAAAAAATCGGATTAAAAATTTAATTTTAAAAATTAAATAAAACAATCGGTTCTGAGAATACCCATTATGAGTGTTATTTGAATGAAATGCACCCTTGGGATTCAAGCCTGCTTAGATGATCAAAATGTTTTTGGTCATTTCGAATGGATTGCTCAAGCCTGTCTCTTGTAGATAAAACAGCACTCTCCACTTCTGCAACAGGAATGTGATGAACTGGGTCCTTAATTTTGTTTATTAGGGCCTGTCTAGTTTGTAAAATAATCTCTTTTACTCTCTTACTTAGCAAATGAATGTTTCACAAAATTTAAGCCTAGGATTAACAAGTTAGACACACCTAATGTAATTTACAAAATAGACTGTTTAAATTGTGATAACACATACATAGGTCAAACTGGACAATATCTAAAGAAAAGAATATACGAACATAAGTATAGCCTAAGAAAAAATAACGAAAATGGTACAGCATTAGCACAGCATGCACAACAGAAGTTGCATAATTTTGATTTTGATAACACAAAAATACTGATTAACGAGAGTAATTATAATAAGAGAAGAGTCCATGAAATGATACAGATTAAAAAACATAACAATGCTATGAATTTCAGATCGGATACCGACAATCTTAGCTCAGTATATCATACATTAATTAAATGAAATAAACATAAAATTTTAAGTAACACCCGGTATATTGAAGAATTTTGCAAATCAAAAATAATATTCTTAGAATGCAAAGAAAAATACCTGAAAGTAAAAGAAATCAATATAAACAGTA